GATGCAAATGTTCTTTTGTTTCAATATATTCCTTGGAGTCTTTCCGTTATAATAAGACAATAGCGATAGCACGGTATCTGTCTTTGGTAAATCACAGTGTGTGTGCATTGTTTGGCGCATGTCAAAGTTGATGTGTCAACATATGTTTGTTTCTCTCAAAAGAAATTCTTCTGGGAATTTTTTAATGAATAATATTATAACATATGTTCCTTTTTAGTATAGAACAAATTCTATAATGTTTCTGTCGGTGAAAACAATATTACAGAATATGTCGTCCAATTGGAAATTATATTATGTCGTAACCTTTATTCAAAGACAGATAAAATGGCATTAACTAGTACATTTATGATATAAAAAGTGTAATAATAGTGTTCAACTTAACGGTGGTGGCATCAAAATATTTGAAAACGTGTCTATAAATATAAGTGATGAAGATGAAAGACGTTAAGCGCGATTACTCATGACATGTTCAAAACATGAAACTTTTTAAGGTTATCGAGGTTAGTTTAGAAAAGCTTCAGACAGTCGCAAAGAAACTGACTGAAAATGAAAGAACCGGAAAGCGACTGTGAGAGAAAGAAGACTATGACTCTATTTATATCTGGACACATTCTTCAGAGGCATCCGGGTTCCTCCTGGACGCCAAGTAAAAAAAAAGAAAAGATAGTCATGGCTAAAAGTCTATTTCAAAATCTCGTATGTATTATAAAGATTTTTTTAACTTGTCTCGTACCCATTTATTTAATTAAAAAAAGACTCCAATGTTTCCGGCGCCACCCAGCCACGGTCATCATCCATGTACAGACATAGCGAACAACATGTAAAAAGTAAAATAAACACGTTACAGTACCTTTGATTATCTAAAATTTCGTCGTTGGTCACTCAGTAAGCCTATCTTGAGCAGCATCATTACTTGTTTACCCACACCAAGCAGCACCAACCAAAAGACATTGAATTAAAAGAATTGAAAGAAATATTCGACAGTAAATCTTGAACAGTCATAAGTAATAGTGACCAGCAATACAAATTCAAAACAAAAGCATTATCATCAACAACATGCCATTCTTGAAGATCCTCTACCTTAACGAGTAAGTGTATTATCATTCAATTTTAAACACGCTGACAAAGGTGAACCAATTCTTAGATGTTATCATAAAACATGGACAAGCGTATGTCCTTACAAAGGACCTGACTAGACAAAGACCATTTACCAATCATCAAACATGATATTGATGTGTATTAATTGTATTCTTCCGTTCAATGTTTGCGATTTTTCTGGAATACTTTTAAATCTCTCAGGGATTCACTTATTTTAAGAAAAATGAGACAGAAGATACCATAGGGAGATCAAAACTTATAAGTAGAAGAAAGATTAACACTATCCTGGAATAAAAAGAAAAAATGACGAAAAGACAAACTACAGTCTATGAAACACTACAGAAAAAACTAAACACTGAACAATAAGAACTCCCACCAGAAACCGGATGTGATCTCAAGTGCTTAAGAAGAGAACACAGAAACTGATCCAGACGTGGCAACCGGCGTTATAAATTGCACTAGTTAATGAATTTTAGTATGAAATGGTAATTTTGATCTTAACCTCATTTGAAAAGTCTCAAACAAAAAACGTGACGTCTTGAAAAGAGTTTCAGTTATTTTCTTGTGAATTCAGTACTGTTTAGTTAAGTAATCATCCTTTAAATAAACTTATTATCATTCATCTAAGTTTTATCAATCTGTACAAAATGTTGTCGAAAATAGGGTAAAAACCAGCGAAATTATACTCATTTAATGAATTAAACTTATATAAAATTGAGAATGGAAATGGGGAATGTGTCAAAGAGACAACAACCCCACCAAAGAGCAGAAAACAGCTGAAGGCCATCAATGGTCTTCAATACCAATGGGTCTTCAATAGAATAGAATGCACATTTAAAATTTAATCTTGTACTATTAGAACTTCGGTTGGAAAGTAGTCACAAGGCTGTGCAGTTATGTCTCTTTCGTGCATTTGTGTACCTTTTGCTATTCTGTGTGATATTCTGCAGATTATGTTGAGTATGGATGTACATTTTCTTAATTCCTATTTTCCCACTCTGTCTTTCATATAAATCATATTTTAAAACTTTCGTAGAGTCATTTCATACCACTTAAAGCAATATAATCGCAATTTTGTTTTGGTAATCGTATGCTTATGTTGTAAAGCTTTGTCCTTTTATGAGGATATATAGACACACGTGAATATTTTTTGCTAATTTATCATATTATAAATTTCAACTTTATTAAAATCCACAAAATGTATTCCTGAGAGTTTATATAAATGAGGCTGACGTTTCATGTTTAATTAAGATTTAACACGTTTGATCTTTTAATAACTCCTCCTTTTATTTAAACCGATCTTATTTTATTTAAACCAGTCTGTGGTAAAATCATGCAAAATGGTCCGAATCCAAAATTATCCAATCAGACTGATATCTTGTTTTTTTGATACCGTATATGTAATAACCATTTGTGCAAAATATTTTGAACAAATATTCAGCCATTATTTGTGTATGCAGAACATTCGATAATTGTCCATTTCTGTACTGACAAAAGGCCATTTTAAGCCTATTTTAGGGTATTTTGACCTGTTTTTTTGTATTATTATTGAAAAGTTCCAGCTTAATGATAACTAATACCTTAACAAACAACTTAAAATGAAAGAAAATTAGGATAGTTTTCAAAGTTTTGACATTTCTCAATACCCCTACTGGCAGGTTGATATTACATGGTTTTGAAAAAGTGCCGATTCAGCAAAAATTGTCTTTTTTAAAGACCTGAATCTTGTAAGATCATGTTTTGTTTTTAATAAAATGTAATACAGCATGAAGCTTATATATTTATCTACAAAATGCAAGAAAATGTTCCTCGGCAAATGATACCTTCTTACGATAAAATAACAATTTAAGATGGACAAGATGGCAATTTTGCCGTATTTATGAATTTTTCATTGGTTACAAGAGAAACTTTACAAATGTATGTGATAGTAAAAATATAAGAAAATAATGACAGATATAATGTTTATTGCTTATCTTGTTTGATTAAACTCAGTTTAACTTAGTTTTAATTGAAAATATACTACAAAAGTAGGCCTGGTAAGACCCCTTTTTTAAGCCCCAAAATTTAGCAATTTTACAATTTGTTTAAAATACATGTATTAACTTATCGCTACTTATTGAAGTCACTTTTCAAAAGTAGAATACTTCAGTTACTTTAAAATCATTTTCTAATGGGCTGTTTTTTTACAATACTATGAACATTCAACAGGTAGGCCACACCAATTTGATTTGTAGTTCTTCGGACAAAAGCTCCAAAAAATATGGGGCGAGCGAGCATAATTTTTTTAATTGTATTTTTTTCTTGAAAATGAGTTTTTATGAGGCGGGTGCTCTGCAAGTGAAGCGAGTGGTATAATTTTTTTTTTAAATTGTGCGATTTAGAATTTATGTACATGCTAAAACTGGGTTACTTCATAGAAAAAGGAGAAGAAACATGCCCTAATGCATATAATTTGATGAATTGGTGCATGAACCATACCCAACTTTCTTGTCTCGCTGTTAAGTTAATTTTCGTCAAATAAGCTTTGTCTGTGTGAATTTGCATTAAAATTCATGCCAGTGTATATATTAAGGAAGCATAGCAGATGCAGTTTAATAAGAGGAATTATGTTAGTTAGGTAAATGACATATGTTGAATAAATTTAAATATGTGTATGTATCTAAAAAAATGCCCCTGGAAAATCTTAAATATTTTTTATATATAGTTGTTTTCATTATATCAATATATGGTAATGATTGTTTATTGGCTGCTTGATGTCCACTTGGAACTATTTATCCATACCTACTAATGATCAACATAATGAGTGAGGTGAATATTTCAACAACATTATGAGTAAGATAGTTATATTGTTATGCATGTAGATCTCAATGTATTAAAATATTCCCTTAAAATACGTATACCTGTCACCACATTCACATGCATTATTCTGACAGCAAAATACTCTTTCATTTTGCTCCTAAAGGCTGCAATGCATTTTAAACTCTTTAGCTTGACTAGAAGTGGTTGAACCAATTACACATCCCTAATTATTATGAGCATGCCAATCACAATACCACCTCTTTGGTCTCGAACGTTGGAACTGTTAAATTTTCCCTTACAAAAGAGTTCTGCTTGCATACCAATAGACTTACAAGGACATATGGGGTTTCATCAAAATAAGATAAATCTGATTTTTTCTAAAATTCATGGGAATTCAATATTATTTTCTTCAAAGATAGATACGTCTATAAAATAACAAGCATTGTAGATAAATCTGTACATAATAGCAGCCGGTGTTTCAAAATTCCACGTAGCAAATCTGAACAACATAGAGTCAATATAAACAGTTATTCTTTGTAAGAACAATGTTTTATTGGAATAGACTACCAAACAATCTTGTGTGTGCCAAGACAATTGATAGCTGTAAAACTTCGGTTGCTCTCACATCGTGGGAATAATTTTCCATCGCCTTTTTTCCGTTGCCATTGATGCCATATCATAGCCTTGCAAGCGGTAATTATTTTTTTTTATTGAAAAGTCCATTTCTCCAAAACAGGAGCTGGAAAATCCAAAGAACTATTAATCAAATTGGTGTGGCCATACTATCATCATTAATTTAAGTAAAATTCTCTGAAATCTTCACAATTTTAGCATTTGTGCTAATTTTAGACCTTTGTTGTCTAAAATGGATATCGCCACTTTTGTTAAGTCTTGATATTTAAATATGTGTTGTATTTGATGATATTACATACACATATAAAAGTTGAGACTGGGTTCTTCTTACCTAGAAAAGGGGGTACATTTTTTTATATTGGAATTAATCTTTATAAGCTTTTTGTCAAATATCAAGCAGATGCTGAGAAAAGTGTTACTTAAATTTTGTGATGCTGATATGAATGACAGATAGTGATCTCTATGTAGCGTCTGGGATAACAGTCGACATAACAACAATGTTAAGTTTCCTCATAGAATGTAATCTCCAATAACTTGAGGCATGTAAATAAGACATGTAAGATGTAGTTAGCCTATTACTACCACAGACAAACAAAAATATTTCAAATGGAAATAAATTTTATTTTATACCTACATGAATAAAAACAAATATACAGATAAATGGTTCAACTGTGGTGCAGACATTTTCATTAAAATGGTTATATAATTATTCAGGCTGTTTGCTTATAATTTTACTGCCATATAATATTAGCGAAGTCTGCCATAAAGAGAAACATGCAAAACGGTCTGAATACATGAAAACAGTGATTAGATCTGAAGCCAGGTCGGATGACTATTCAGGTCTAAGTTAGTAAGTATGCATCAGTCAAAACATCCTGTTGTAATATTGACTGTGTTTCGTCTGTTTTCCTCTTTTCTACTACAGATCAGAACACATGATCGACTTGTATTGTGCAGGTACAATATAATTCAAAATCAAATCAATAATTTCTGATGATAATTTTGTAGAAAAAGCCATTGTACTTTTTGATACATGATACATCATCCCATGCCAGATTCAATTGGTTCCTAAATGGTGGATATTCTCCATTCCAAAGGAAATGCAAGCCTCTGTTGAGTTTGTTGAGTTGAGAATAAAAAATTAGTTGATGCTGTGAATATACTCCTATGAGAACCTGAGCATCTTTAATTTGGCTTTCATCTCCATCTAAAAAGATAAAAAATAAATCTACAAATGTACTTTAAAAAAATAATATATCAAATTAAAGACAAGAAATGATTGTAACAGGATGCTGTTACGAAGTCTCCCAAACGAAGCTCCCATAATTCGTAATTCCCAGGGTCGCCTGACATTGGGCAACGTCCAGTGAAAATTGGTTTGGTCCAGTTAAGTTATATGCATTAGTGATGCCTGGGGACTAACCTTGTATATCATTCAAATCATCTTGGCATGACAAACCAGAATATATATGGTTTAGGTTGGGGGATCTGGACCATTTACAAGATACTAGAACATTGGGGGTGGGGAGGAACCCCTGGGGACTGGCCCTATATGTCATTCAAATGTTCATTACATGACGAACAGGAATATATATGGTTTAGGGGTGGGGATCTCAACCATTTACAAGATATTAGAACATTGGGGTTGGGGGGAACCCCTGGGGACTGACCGTATACGTCATTCAAATGTTCGAGACATGACAAATAGGAATATATATGGTTTAGGGGTGGGGATCTCAACCATTTACAAGATATTAGAACTTTCTCAAATGGCAGGGGGTCAGGATGACCCCTGGGGACTAACCCTGTATATCATTCAAACCATCTTCGCATGACAAACCAGAATATATATGGTTTAGGGGTGGGGATCTTGACCACTTAGAAGATATTAGAACTTTCTTAAATGGCAGGGGGTGGGGTGACCCCTAGGGACTAACCCTGTATTTCATTTGATGTGCTTTATCATGACAAACCAGAATATATATGGTTTAGGGGTGGGGATCTCGACCATTTACAAGATATTAGAACTTTCTCAAATGGCAGGGGGTCGGGATGACCCCTGGGGACTAACCCTGTATATCATTCAAACCATCTTAGCATGACAAACCAGAATATATATGGTTTAGGGGTGGGGATCTTGACCACTTACAAGATATTAGAACTTTCTTAAATGGCAGGGGGTGGGGGTGACCCCTGGGGACTAACCCTGTATTTCATTTGATGTGCTTTATCATGACAAACCAGAATATATATGGTTTAGGGGTGGGGATCTCGACCATTTACAAGATATTAGAACTTTCTCAAATGGCAGGGGGTCAGGATGACCCCTGGGGACTAACCCTGTATATCATTCAAACCATCTTAGCATGACAAACCAGAATATATATGGTTTAGGGGTGGGGATCTTAACCACTTAGAAGATATTAGAACTTTCTTAAATGGCAGGGGGTGGGGGGTGACCCCTGGGGACTAACCCTGTATAACATTTGATGTGCTTTATCATGACAAAACAGAATGTATATGGTTCAGGGATGGGGATCTCGACCATTTACAAGATATTAGAACTTTCTCAAATGGCAGGGGGTCGGGATGACCCCTTGGGACTAACCCTGTATATCATTCAAACCATCTTAGCATGACAAACCAGAATATATATGGTTTAGGGGTGGAGATCTTGACCACTTAGAAGATATTAGAACTTTCTTAAATGGCAGGGGGTGGGGGTGACCCCTGGGGACTAACCCTGTATTTCATTTGATGTGCTTTATCATGACAAACCAGAATATATATGGTTTAGGGGTGGGGATCTCGACCATTTACAAGATATTAGAACTTTCTCAAATGGCAGGGGGTCCGGATGACCCCTGGGGACTAACCCTGTATATCATTCAAACCATCTTAGCATGACAAACCAGAATATATATGGTTTAGGGGTGGGGATCTTGACCACTTACAAGGTATTAGAACTTTCTTAAATGGCAGGGGGTGGGGGTGACCCCTGGGGACTAACCCTGTATTTCATTTAATGGGCTTTATCATTTAGAACATTTTCAATTAAAAAGATTGTGTCTATCACAAACGGTTTTCAAATTATAATCATTTGAAAATTTTAAAAAATAAAATCCCATAGGGTTCTATAGTAAAACCCTCTTTTCTTTTTGCCCCTCAAAGTACCCCTTTATAAACCCCATTGCACAAACAAAATCCTGATTGCACCACTAGACATGTTAGTCTAACATATTGTGAAACCCTAAGTTAATCTGACTAGCGGTTTTGGAGAACGGGTGCGGACAAGTTCAAATTTAAAAGCGGCGGAAGAAGAAGAAGAAGAAGAATAATAATAATAATTAAAAACCAATTGTTCAGAGAACAATTGAAGGTCTTTCCACTAGTAAGGATCTATTTTGATATGAAAATATTAAAATTTTGTTTTAAATGTCAATTTCCGCGTCAAATGACAGCTTATTGTACGCTGATTCCAAAATTATATGGTTTTTATACAAAAAGATATAAATAAGGGAGATAATTTTTTACTTTAAAAGATGTTACTTCCGGTATTGTTTGATACTTTACTTGACACTGATTCCAAAAATATATGGTTCTATATACTTTTATATTAACTTAGTACAAAAAATAGCTACTTCCGGTTTACAAAAGGTCACTTCCGGTTGACTTTTTCAATGTCACATTGCTTGCAACCTAATGCAAAATCTAAAACGTTAAATTTACCTATGACCTTGAGCTCAATTTCAAGGTCATAAACCAAGGACCACAAATCAAAAGACTCTAGGCCTCTACTTTATATTGTTAATGAGTTCTATTACCATACGACTCATATTAGACATAAAAGGGGGAAAACTCGCATCAAATGTCTACGTACCCTTTCAACTAAAATTTACGTGTTACGACATGTCGCAACTAACAATTGTGTGAAAATATTTTGTCGATATCTTATATGATTTTTAAAAATAAGAGATAACAAGCCAAAATCAAAATTTTGAACATGACCTTAACCTTTGAACTTGACCTTATTTTCATTTTTTTGGACCAAGGACCTCATATCAAAAGACCGTAGGCCTCTATCACTCATGGTTTTCCAGTTAAAAATACATTTCACTTATATCAAATACAAAAGGGGAAATAACTCTCATATGGAATCTCTATACGGCTTCGGTCAAAATAAAACCTAACATCCTGAGGATATAACGAGCAATTTGGAAAAATAAATTTGTCGCTTTCTTTTACGGTTGCGGAGGAGATCTCATAACAAGAAAAACAGTGTTTGGGGAGATAACTCTTACAAAGAAAAGTGTTCGGTTAAACAGGGTCAGTTTCAAAAGCGTATAGACTGTATTATATCATATACCAAAAAACTAAGCGACATCTTTTGAAACAAAAATACACCGCAAGAAAAAAATTAGGCGGAAGAAAAAAAAAAATAATCAGAAGAAAACCAATAGGTCTTTCCACGGAAAGGTGGAAAGACCTAATAAGAACTGAGCAAAAACAATAAGTCTTCCCAAACTTCGTTTGGGAGACTTAATAAATGAATTCTCAAATATACAATGTCCATGATATATGAGATAACTATGAAATCTATTTGGTTGGGACCCAATGAAAAAAAATATACAAGATATCTCAACTGGTGGAGTAAAATCATTGCTTTACCACATCTAGTATATCTGATAAAACCTCAATGTCTTAATGCAAAAACTTTACCAAACCATTCATGCAGAAATTGTAGGCCAAAGTGACCTTATCAAAAGTAACCATGTTGTACTACCCAAGATATCTATCCACTAGCTATAGTCAAGTATCAATGTAATACCATGTCTATTATCTTACAGAGAGACCTAAACACACAAAATTAACATAGTTGCTCAAGTGGAAAATGTAGGTCAACATTATCTTTATAAAAGTGAATCATGTTGGACTACCCAAAATCAATACACTGGTTAAGTATCATAGCTATACAATTTTGTACCAGAGATATTGACTTTAATGCAAAAAACTTAACCATGTCACTCATGTGGAAAATGTAGGTCAAGGTGACCTAATTTTTATCATTTACCCTATTGCTCTACCCAAAACCTATCCACTGGTCAAATATCATAGCTATACTACATGTTTCATGACTATATCTAGTGTCACTTAAGTGAAAATGTAGGTCATAATGACCTAATTATAAATATTTATTAGGAAATTCTAATATGAGGTCCTTGATTGAATCCAAGTCCATGATAAAACTAATACAAAGCTATACCCAGTACTGTAAATTCAGAAATTATTGCGTGCATTAATAACTGCGATTTTGTAATGTAACTTTAGACTGAAATGCAAATTTAATTTTTGCAATATTCAGAAAAATCCTGTTTAATTCATATAGTAAATTTCAAAATGGGAGTTTAAATTAGTGCTATTATAACCCTGTCGCATTTTTCGCAATAATAAAAACATCGCAATAATTTCAGAATTTACAGTAATATTTTTGACATTATCACTTTTTTGGTAATGGTTAAAAATTTTAACACTGGTCGTCTCATGATTCCCTAACATCCACCCCTTCCCACTAAATGTATCTCTGTACATTTTACAATCAGTTTAAAATTTTCAAAATGCCTTTCAATTGCCCCTGTAAATAAACTATGTGGGGATGTATAAGAACCCTGCCACATCCGATCTCTGATTTTGTTAGATGTATTTATCCTTTATGTCAATCTGATGAGTTAAGCCTCAACTGACACATGACTGATTTCTTATGTTGTACTGTTACACTACTGTCCCAGGTTAGATGAGGGTTGGCGCCTTCAAACGAATTTAACCTCAAAGTGGTTGTTGTTTGTTGCTGTATACCATATTTGTTTTTTGTTCATTGTTTTGTACATATATTTACTCCTTCTAAATAGTTTAACATTTGTGATTTCTGGGCCTTTGATAGCTGACTATGCGGTATGGGCTTTGTTCATTGTTGAAGGCCATACAGTGACCTATAGTTGTTAATTTTTATGTCATCTAGTCTCTTGTGGAGCATTGTCACATTTGCAATCAATTCAAATCACTTCTTTTTTTTATAAATGCAATAACATTCTCATACATGTATGTTTTCTTACCGTTATCTGTTTTGTATCAACTATGATTCCTCCATCAGCTACTGTTTGTCTAATCTTGGTAAAACACTGCTTGCAGAGACCTACAATGTATGCCTTTTTGAAAAAATGGAATAATGCAGCCAGTCAATGGTACCATACACACTAAAAACATCAATAAAACACGATCATGTCAATGTCCAGATGAACAATGTTTCAGGTGTGAACAATCAATCAATTTATAAACCTGTTGTTCTACGGCATGATGCCAGCGAATAAATTATAATAGACAAATCTGTTTTATCAAATTAAAGGTTAAAACTAATTTATTTACAAAAAGGCATGCCTCATTCGAATACATGGACATGATGGAGACATTATTAAAGTCAGTAAGCAGAATGAATATCAAGACTACATTTGTACATGTAAAACGTCATACAACTTCAAGTGAGAAACTCACACCCTAAAAAAACCTAGATTTTGTGCTTTCATTTCAGACAAATAAAAGGGGAATTGAGATTTTAGTGACAAACACAAAACAAGTTTAACCTCACTACATTTATGTGTGCCCTTTCCAACTAAGGAATATATTGTAGGTTGGTTTTTACATATAGTACCGCCGGTATGTCCTTGCTTCAATAGAAATTTATAATTTACAATTTTTTTGTATCTTGACCATATATACATGATATACATGTACATCTAGTGAATTTTTTTTTTTTTTTTATATTTAATGACTCATTTCTGGTAATTTACAGCTCGCAACTAGTTGGTGGTTGTGCGTGTTACATATATCACATATCTACATTCTTTGAACATGTATTGTAAATAAATGCCTTTTTCCATATACATGTATATATGTTCATTGTATCACATAATTATATACCTCGCCACTATCATGACTATGTCATGCATATGTGGCAGTTTTAAAAATGAATCTTTTCATAATACAGTGGTGGATCCATCCAGGGAGGTACCGGTGGTCAAAATAATTATGACGTCTTGAAAGGCCATTTAATTTTTTGGCTATGCCTATGGCGCCTGCGTCGCAGTAAGGGGTCAAACATGTCAAAGCAAAAAAAATAAAATAGCCTTTCAAGACGTCATATATATTTGGACTAGGGACCAGTTGGTTAGAACCTTCCCTTTATTTGCTGATTAATGCTTTTGAATAGGGACACATGGATGGACCTACCTTTTTATCCTGCTAAGAACCACCATCCCCCTTTTTTTTAAATTGGCTAGATCCACCCCTGTCATAATTAACTAATTTATTTTTGTAATTTACCTGACCCTTTTGGAATTAGTTGTCATTACAAAAGTCAGTATTCCTATGATAGGGTTAGTGTGGTTCCTCATCACTATCTGTATCTGTATCTTTATATTTTCTGCCAATATAGGCACACCTTCAGTATGAAGTCAACAATATCCTTTCCCCAGTAGAATGTTATAAGTTAAAAGTATCCAATCACCAATAGAATATGTATAACGATGTACACTATATACAATTGTCGGTATATCTCTACACCAATATCACACACGTTCTTGTCTATAAAATCTAAAATAAAATGCTTCGCTGGGCGCAGCTTGATACGACCGCAGAGGTCGAACCCTGAACAGTTGGGGCAAGTATGGACACAACATTCAAGCTTGATACAGCTCTGAATTTGGATTGTGGTTAAATATTTGACACAGCATAGGTTTCTGACACAGAAAGAATGTTGTCTAAGAACTTCAATTTTTTTAATTTACCTATTATGGTCCAATGTCCAAAATCAAAATACATGGTTAGATTCAGCATATCAAAGAACCCCATATATTCAATTTTTGTTGAAATCAAACAAAGTTTAATTTTGGACCCCAACTTGGACAAACTTGAAAACTGGTCTCATAATCAAAAATCTAAACACATGTTTAGATTCAGCATATCAAAGAACCCCAAGAATTCAATTTTTGTTAAAATCAAACTAAGTTTAATTTTGGACCCTTTGGACCTTAATGTAGACCAATTTAAAAAACGGGACCCAAAATTAAAAATCTAAAAACACGGTTAGATTTGGCATATCAAAGAACCCCAATAATTCAATTTTTGATGAAATCAAACAAAGTTTAATTTTGGACCCTTTTGACCTCAATATGAACCAATTTGATAGCAGGCCCACAAAATAAAAAATCTAAATACATGGTAAGATTCAGCATATCAAAGAACCCCATATATTCAATTTTTGTAGAAATCAAACAAAGTTTAATTTTGGACCCCAATTTGGACCAACTTGAAAACTGGGCCAAAAATCTAAAATCTAAATACATGTTTAGATTCAGCATATCAAAGAACCCCATATATTCAATTTTTGTTGAAATCAAACAAAGTTTAATTTTGGACCCCAACTTGGACAAACTTGAAAACTGGTCCCATAATCAAAAATCTAAACACATGTTTAGATTCAGCATATCAAAGAACCCCAAAAATTCAATTTTTGTTAAAATCAAACTAAGTTTAATTTTGGACCCTTTGGACCTTAATGTAGACCAATTTAAAAAATAGAACCCAAAATTAAAAATCTAAATACACGGTTAGATTTGGCATATCAAAGAACCCCAATAATTAAATTTTTGATGAAATCAAACAAAGTTTAATTTTGGACCCTTTTGACCTCAATATGAACCAATTTGATAGCGGGCCCACAAATAAAAAATCTAAATACATGGTAAGATTCAGCATATCAAAGAACCCCATATATTCAATTTTTGATGAAATCAAACAAAGTTTAATTTTGGACCCCAATTTAGACCAACTTGAAAACTGGGCCAAAAATCTAAAATCTAAATACATGTTTAGATTCAGCATATCAAAGAACCCCATATATTCAATTTTTGTTGAAATCAAACAAAGTTTAATTTTGGACCCCAACTTGGACCAACTTGAAAACTGGGCCCATAATCAAAAATCTAAACACATGTTTAGATTCAGCATATCAAAGAACCCCAAGAATTCAATTTTTGTTAAAATCAAACTAAGTTTAATTTTGGACCCTTTGGACCTTAATGTAGACCAACGGGACCCAAAATTAAAAATCTAAATACACGGTTAGATTTGGCATATCAAAGAACCCCAATAATTCAATTTTTGATGAAATCAAACAAAGTTTAATTTTGGACCCTTTTGACCTCAATATGAACCAATTTGATAGCGGGTCCACAAATAAAAAATCTAAATACATGGTTAGATTCAGTATATCAAAGAACCCCAAGAATTCAATTTTTGATGAAATCAAACAAAGTTTAATTTTGGACCCTTTTGACCTCAATGTGGACAAAGTTGATAACGGGGCCCAAAAATCAAAAATCTAAATACATGGTTAGATTCAGCATATCAAAGAACCCCATATATTCAATTTTTGTTGAAATCAAACAAAGTTTAATTTTGGACCCCGATTTGGACCAACTTGAAAACTGGGCCCATAATCAAAAATCTAAATACATGTTTAGATTCAGCATATCAAATTCCCTAAAAATTCAATTTTTGTTAAAATCAAACTAAGTTTAATTTTGGACCCTTTTGACCTTAATGTAGACCAATTTGAAAACGGAACCAAAAATTAAGAATCTAAATACACGGTTAGATTCGGCATATCAAAGAACCCCAATAATTCAATTTTTTATGAAATCAAACAAAGTTAAATTTTGGACCCTTTGGACCTCAATGTGGACCAATTTAAAAACGGGGCCCAAAATCCAAAAACTTAATACACGGTTAGATTCAGCATATTAAAGAACCCCAAGAATTCAAGAATAAAACCCCATTGAAATTGATCAAGAAATAAGCAATTTATACGAAGTATCTTCTTTTGCACAATACTGTGCAATTGAATATTTCTTGCTATTGTGCAATACTGTACAATTGACAATTTCTTGCTATTGCGCAATATTGTGCTATTGGATATTTCTTGCTATTGTGCAATACTGTGCAATTGAAGATTTCTTGCTATTGCGCAATACTGTGCAATTGAAGATTTCTTGCTATTGTGCAATACTGTGCAATTGAAAATTTCTTGCTATTGCACAATACTTATTGTATAATAATTTACACATCCTGTTTGGTGTGTATCTCCTACCATATCATTATTATTTGCTTTTAAATATTAATCAGAAATAACCAACTTAAAATGGAAAATTTTAAAAGAAAAAAAAAGGAAAAAAAGAAAAAAAAAGAAAAAAAAAATCCCCCCCCCAAATTTTTTGAACCCCCTTATGATTCATCACCCCCAAACTCAATCCCAGCCTTCCCTTTGTGGTATGGTACCTTGCAGTACAATTTCAGAGAGATCCATACACTTGAACACAAGTTATTGTCTGGAAACTAGAAAAATGCTTATTTTTGGCCCCTTTTTGGCCCCTTTTTGGCCCCCAATTCCTAAACGTTTCGGGCAATTACCCCCAAACTCAATTCCAGCTTTCCCTTTGTGATATGGAACCTTGTAGTACAATTTCAGAAATATCCAAACACTTACACACAAGTTATTGTCATGAAACTAGAAAAATGCTTGTTTTTTGCCCCTTTTTTGGCCCCTAATTCCTAAAATTTTGAGGCAATTACCCCCAAAATCAATTACAGCCTTCCCTTTGTGATATGGAACCTTGTGGTACAATGTCAGAGCGATCCATACACTTACACACAAGTTATTGTCTGGAAGTTACAAAAATGCTTATTTTTGGCCCCTAATTCCTTAACTGTTGGTACCATAACCCCCAAAATCAATCCCCACCTTCCTTTCGTGGTATTGAACCTTATGGTAAAATTTCATGGAGATCCATTCACTTAAACTAAAGTTAGAGTGCGAAAACCAATGTGTCTTCGGACGACGCCAGACGACGACGACGACGACGCCAACGTCATACCAATATACGACCAAAAAATTTTCAATTTTTGCGGTCGTATAAAAATGAGTCCTTAGATAGCATGAGATTTGCAGTCCACACACAAACTTTTTCTTAAACATTGTTAAATAAAACTATGAACTTAAATTATTTTTTCTAGATCTTTTCTGACCTAAATTTAAGAGTTTGTATCTATGTACATTGAGCTTATTTATTAATGTTCTACAAGCAGGCTCTATATGGGTGTTAATAAAAGCATATAGTTCACTGGTTAGAGAGGTGTCACAGTAGTTCACTAATTGATATGGATTGATAATAACATGGATGAAGTCTACATCTATATCATATATATTAATGTTTAGTAGTGCTAGCACTTTGATATATTGTTCTCGTAGAGATTTCAAAAGAGACACTCTTTCAGTTTCTAATGCTGTACATGAAATCAGAAAATGTGAAATGGTTTCATCCTCTTTGCCGCAGACTCTGCAGGTGGCGGATACCTCATTTTTGTTAAATTTCGCTCTATTTGTCGGTAAGATGTAGTTGCCAGTTGCAAATCTGGTCCTGATTGGTAATTTGATGAAGTCTCTACAGTTTGAGGTATTTGTTGTTAGGATTGGATGTATTCTCTTTGTCTTGTATTCACCAGATATGTATTTTAAACTAGAGTATCTCTCAGAGTCTCTATTAATTTTGTCAGTCCAGTAAGTATGTATTTTTTTGTGATTAAACTTTTCCATTGCGACTTTCCTAAAGGGTTGTTTAAAAAATCCTATCAGCTTTTCGCCTTTTGGAGTTTTGCCTTAATGTCAGCAGGACGATCTTTGAATCCACACTTTGTTGAATAGTCCCGCCAATATATCCCAAAAAAAATCTCTGTGCCATCGACATGGACATATTGACAATTTTATAGCAGGAAACAATGTCACTTATGTGTATAAAATAGTCCTCCTGGAACATGTGGACAGTTTGATAAACAGGCCTCACTGCCCTCAGTGCTGTGGATAAATTCAAGGTGGTTATGTAACAAATAATTTGTTCCGGCGTGATATTTGTTCCGCCAGAACAAATTTCATAGGAAATATGTTCCACCGGACTTTATATCACAGAAAATATGTTCCAGCACTGTAAAATTTGTTCGGGAACAAATTTTATGACCAAATGTGAAATAAGTTCCGGAACAAAAATCATAGATCCATGCATGAATTTTGTTCCAATTAATATTAAGAGTTTTAAAAAGTTAAATAAGTTCCTGTGATATTTGTTTTAAAAGAACGCGTACATATTTCATAGAAATCAATGAATAAGTTCCGCTCAAACCTATTTTCACAGAAAATAAGTACCTTTGCAACAAACTGCAAGCGAAATATTTTCTTGTTACATTTAAATTATAATGCAAGCTGAGTGCTGTATTGAGTGTGCTTGCATGGAATACATTTGCAATTGATTGATTGATTGATTGTTGGTTGCTTAACGTCCAGTGGCAAATATTTCATGCATATTCAGGACGAGAACAAATTAACAATAAATACAATAGGTAGGTTCTGTAATAGGGGCGTCCGGGATTAAGGTCGGAGAAATTTAGACTGCCACGGGAAATGAGGGTATATTGGATAGGGACAGAAATTTAGCCTTGCAACAGGTCACCTACGGACCCCTCCAAGAGTTGTTGCAAGGGTTCTTAACGTGCAAAGAGCGTAGCACTCTCTTTACACAAGGCATCGTATTTAACGTCCCCATTCTGACCGGACGTGGCTGCAGATTTGTACATCCCGCACAGCCAAATGGACGCCCCACTTTAGCAAGGGTTTTACTGCCGGTCGGAGGAAGACCAATGGTGACCATACTTCTATTCCCCAGTCACCCTTGGGGGTCATTTGCAATTGAAGGCATGAAGATAAGAAATAAAAGCAGTGGCGGATCCAGAAATTTTCATAAGTGGGGGCCCACTGACTGCCTAAGAGGGGGCCCGCTCCAGTCATGCTCCAGTGATTCCCTAAATAATCAACCAAATTTTTCCCAAAAAAAAGGGCCCCCCCCCCCTAAATCCGCCTCTGAAAAGCGATGATAATGTATCATAATTTGTTTTTATGTTTTATGTGGTATTCCTCCTTGGTTTTTGTTAACTGTCATGGCCGTGTGTTCTAGTCATACATGTACTTAGGTCATAGCACAGTTTCAAAAGAGTGTGTCTTTTGTTTCTACATGTCTTTTGATATAACTGATCAGTCACTTTGTCCTTTTCAAATAAGTACATATGTTCATCTTTAACTATACTTTTTTTCTGAATGATTGATTTTTCTTATTCTACTCTTTTCTGGTTGAAAAGTGTCATTTTGATATTTTTTACGGAGTATATAATTAAACATTTGCTATACTGCACAGGATACGAATTGGATGATTTACACTTTTTTACTTTTTTTATTAATGATATAATACTTATTATTATAATGTACTTGAATGATAACTTTAAACTCACTGATGACAAATGCTCAGTATATAAGATAACTTGTTTAACCAGTGGAACATATTTCACAGACAAGGAACTTATTTCACCAGGTGAGGAACAAATCTCACAAACCCAGAACTTATTTCACCAGATAAGAAACAAATCTCATAAACCCGGAACTTATTTCACCAGGTAAGGAACAAATTTCACCAACCCGGTACTTATTTCACCAGGTAAAGTGTGGAACTTATTTTATAGAGATGGAACAAATTATATAGAAATCATCTGTGAAAAAAGTTCTCCCAGAACATATTTCCTGTGATATTAGTTCCACTGGAACTTTTTTCACAGGAACAAATTTTGGCTCACAGTCACGCCACTGGTGGTTGTGTCCTTTGTACAAAGATAAACCGTGTCTAACAGATGAGTTGTATAGTGCTTTGATTGTCCACAACAACCTCCAAGATTAGAAAAATCGGACCGAACAGAGACGTCTGCTTTTCATCACTGGAAGCTGCCATATTGCCAGTGAAAGATTTCCACTAAGGGAGACAATCTAACCACAAAAATAACATTGAGGCTAACTTTGGGTAACTTAATGTTAAATTTTGCAAATTAACAAGAAAAAACCATACATTTAGCCAGAAATATTTTTCAACATAAAATAAATCAATTTTAGACAAGTTACCACCTACTTTAAGCAATTTTAGTTAAATAACAAGAAACAAAAACTATTAGAATTATTGCATTTTATGGTTATTTTAAGAGTATTTTTTATCAAATTTCCATTATTTGCCAAGCCAAAATTGTTTACATGTCTTAGAACTGATATACATCTTTCAAAATATTATAAAAGTTAAGAATAAAAAATATGATCTTGAGAGAAAACTGTTATTGAGTACACGTAGTATATACAAGTTGTTTATTACATCTGTGGCGCGAACTTTCTGGCAACCTGCCAAAAGGTCCGAAATTCTCAAAAAGCTATTTTTTTTGTTATTAACTAATGTTCCTTCAAAATATGATAAAAATAATATTTCATTTAAGAGCTATATCAATTATCCAGACCCCTAAAAAGTGCCTAGATAAGCTGTATTTTTTAGCCATTTTTTAAAATAATTCACTTATATGCAAATTAGGCGGTTTAATTGAAAATAGAGCAAATTAACAATTTTTTTTTTATCTTAACTCCTAAATACCTAAAGTTTTTGGAAATATATATAATTTTGGCAAGTTGTAACTACCAATTTGGACGAAATTTGGGATTTTGCATGGTTTTATGGCAGACTGGCTCTTAAACCAGAAATGCAATAAGACCCCTTTCAGAACAACCTTTTAAAATGCGTTGCGATACGAGGCCCACGTATAGTCAGCAATGTGCTGATGGATCGTCGTACGATGTAGATGTATACCTGTAGCTACTGCTGAAAAATAAACCAAAACAAATTGTAGTTTACATTTAGGACGGTATGAATGCCCTTTACCGTCAGGCGTCAAATGGTCATTTTCGGCTACCGTTAGCGGAGTCAAATTGGTTAAAATTTTACCGTGGTTCGTCAACATATCCTTTTCGTGGATCGTCAGAGGTCTCAAATAATTATCGTTACCGTTATTTTTGGAAAAAAATTAACGTGATTCGTCAAAATCTATCGATTTTTTTATCGTCTTGAAGAAAATCTTCATTTTATCGTCATGCACCAAAAATTACCGTTAACGTCATTTGGCAAGATTTTTTACCGTTATTCGTCATGAAGGTACCCCCATTACCACCCTCATTTAGCGAAAGTGAAAGTAGAAATGAGAGTTTTAAAAATATATTTTCACAACAAACATGCAACCTAACCATACTATAAGTTTTAACGTAACGATAATCCATGTTTGTCCTTGAAATTTTTACGACGAAATAGTTCATACACAATGTATAGTCATTTTAGAGTTCATGCACTTAGTGTTTTAATTTTCTGAAAATTCAAATGAACCTTAACCATGTTCACAATCGCCATTTTTTTTCTGAATTACCGGTGATAAAAAGCAGAGCCATCACAGTTTGTGCGTAGATAGAATGTTTACTATTTCAGTAAGTGCATTTTTCTGTGTTATGTCATATAGGGAAGTAACGACACAAGTTACAAATTGTAAATTAAAAAAAAATGATGCTTATTGATGATATTTTCAAAAAACTCATAATGGATCTTTGTTAAGTCGTGAACATTATCAGTTTATTTTTTGGATCTTTGTTAAGCCGTGAACAATATCAGTTTAATAAGATTCTACCTCTTTGACAAAACATTGATACTAAGGAAAGATGCATTTTCTATGCTGATGATAAATACCAGAACTGATACAAGATCATACAACTGAAGATTAAAGTGTGGAATTTTTCAGAATACTAATGCATTGAAAGGTATTTAAGGTGTATCAATTTCATTGGTATATATTTCCTCCTCAGATTGATTTTTTTTTATACTTTGCCAGGATGTATTTATCTATGATTTTTCAAAAATATAATAAAAAGTATGGGTCACCGTGCTATTTTTTAAGTTACAAAGTCGTGCAAAATTGACCAAATTTGCATGAATTGTTAATAAGTTATCTCTCCTTAAATGGCTTAGTTGACAATTTGATTCGAACGAACACAAATATTTGGTGTATGATATTTATCAGTCTGAATAATACAATAAATCACTGCATTTTCTTATTATTCTAATACACAATCTAACCCATTAATTATCTATCTGTCTCAAAATTTCAGATTTAACCAAAAAACTAGACCTATTGTGGACTGTTATTTTATAATTTTTTCTATTTTGGCGGTTTTCGGTTAATCTAACTTAAGTGTAAAAAGGTATGATAAATCCTGTTGATGCTTACACGAAATTTACCGATCTTAATTTGAACTGATCTTAAAAATATAAAAAAGAAGATGAGTAGATATAAGAAGATGTGGTATGAGTGCCAATGAGACAACTCTCCATCCAAGTCACAATTTGTAAAAGAAAAAAGAGGTATGATTGCCATTGAGACAACTCTCCACAAGAGACCAAATGACACAGAAATTAACAGCTATAGGTCACCGTACGGTATTCAACAATAAGCAAAGCCCATACCGCATAGTCAGCTATAAAAGGCCCCGAACTGACAAATGTAAAACAATTCAAACGAGAAAACAAACGGCCTAATTAATGTACAAAAATATAAACGAAAACCAAATATGTAGCACAGCAACAAAAAACAACCATTGAATTACAGGCTCCTGACTTGGGACAGGCACATACACTACATACAGAATGTGGCGGGGTTGAACATGTTAGCGGGATCCACGTGGCGGGATCCCAACCCTCCCCTAACCACAGGGACTCGAACGGTTAGCAGATAGGCATATTAAAATTTTGTTTATCAATGTTTTTCAAATCTTTTTTCGTATTTCCTGTCTATTTATATTACATTGTTAACGTTTTTAACGTTGGTATTATTATTTCTTTGTTTCTATCAATGTGCACTTTAATTTACTATCTATATCCGTATACTGAAAAATCCTAAAGGGAGTCTAAGTCGCCATTTTGAATTGCTTACTCATCTTTAAAGAAAGAATAATTAAAAACTTTTTTATGTCACTTTATACATTACAAAGAAATACCCATACTTGGCTATCGTTTCATTCAGGTAAAAATATTCTAATTTCCCGGCGAAAGCAACGTAACTGGCAAACGTGTCGTTTTTCAATAAGATAGACGAAATGGGAGATACATCTGTCATTCGGAAACTTCCAGGTTGATGTGTTTATTACAACGATAATTCATCATAGACTGACGAGTGTTTTTAATCAGCTTATCTGCTAACCGAGTCCCTGTGCCCTAACCTGGGACAGTGGTGTATCAGTACAACATAACAATCTAAAAATCAGTTGAAAAAGGCTTGACTTGAAAAGACCATTTCACATATTCATGTGCAGATGCAATATATGATTAGTTAAATTTACTTAATTCAAAGGGTGCTTTCCTTTGGCCCCTTCTTAAGAGTTTATAAATTTCTCTACTAGTAAGTGTCTGTATCGTGACGTTTTACATTTCGCAGAACGTAATCTTTGTATAACTGATGGACTGGTACGTCAGGAAGTTCGTTACCGCACATTACTAAGACCTTAATTAAATACTATCATAGATACATATATTTGGTTTGAAAGGCGAGTTTGATGTAACTGTTCCAATTTTATTACGAAACGAGGATGTCAAACCTTTAATAGGAAAGTTTTTTTTTTATGTAAACTTATCGATCCTTCAAATAAACTTATCATACCCCGCTTTAAAAGTAGGGGTATATTGTTTTACCTCTGTCTGTCCGTCCGTCCATCCATCCGTCCATCCGTCAGTCCGTCCGTCCGTTCCATGAATATTTTCGTGGCTTCTTTCTCAGGAACTACATTACAAGGATTTCTGAAATTTGATATCAGGGTTTATATGAGCCAGCTATGCCGTGTAATGCGTTTTCAGATTCATCGCTTAACAACTTCCTGTCTACCTTTATATTTTAGCGGGCGGGTGTATCATTAGTGAGCAGTAGCTCACAGGTTCCCTTGTTATTATTGAAATGTAGGATTGTTCATGAAAAAACACATTTTTGTGAAGAAAAAAAAATCTAGGACACAGAATTTTAAAATAAAATATGAGAAGATAGGTTTTACAATATACTTTAAGAAAATAAAAAGAAAAATGGGGTCACCGACCTTGATTTCTTGCTACAAGTAAAAGTTTTTCTATCATTTCTTTAAAAAAAAATCCTATTTGAGTTATCTCCCCTTAAATGGTTAAGTTGACAATTTGATTCGAACAAACACAAATATTTAGTATTTGATAAATTAGTCTGAATAATACAATAAATCACTAGTTTTTCTTAATTCCATTAAACACTCTAACCCATGAATTGCCTATACGGTGGTATACAGTTAATCTACTTTAAAAGAATCTGTGAGGATTCATCTTTTAATGATTTGAACAAATATGTCCTAGCCTTTGTGCTACTATTTCTCTTCTAAATTCAATAACAATGGATTTTTATACAATTAATAGATTTGATAACAGAACAAGAAAAAATGGAATCTGTTTCGATGGAATTTCAGGATTTGAATACCAAGTTGGAATTACATCCGGGTTTAATACGCCTAAATCTGAACATAATGAACGCTCTTGATATGCATGTGATCCAAGACGCAAAGCAAAATATTGAAAAACTTTTAATTAAAGAACATCCGATTGTCGAAAACGTTCAGAAAAATATTATTGCTATACTCAAGACTAAAATACCGAGAGAACGACGAGAAGCCAGATTTGATCTTGAAAATATAAGAAAGAAGTCCCCAGACAATTTAAACGTACTAGCCGATTTGGAGTGCATTTATACAGAGCTAGATAGAAGTAAGGATGCAGAGGTTTGCAAACAAAAATATCAGGAAATTCTTTCGGGTACCTCCAAGAACAACATACGTTGCAAGCAAATATGTTTGCTTGAACAAGGGTATGCAATTATGATAGAGCGAACACTAATCAACCAAAGTACAGTGGAATTAAGGATAACAGATTTACACAAAATTCTTAGCACCGAACTTGAAAGAAGTCAGGGAAGGAGAAAAGAGTGTTTTGAAAGAGGACTTCATCACCAAATTCAAGTCTTACGTAATGTCCGAATTGCTAATGAAGACGAGATAGAAGACAGACATCTTGTTCGAAAAGGATCTAGTCTTCAAAAATTTAAATTAGCTGAGGCATTAGATGCATCTTTTCCAAACATGATATGGAATTACTACTATGCTAAGGCATTAAACCAGTATTATGACTCTTTGGAAACTGTACTTAAACGTAAAGACAATGGGAAAGATACAATTAACAAATTAAACAGACATATTGGCGAATCGGGGCAAGCTGTAAAATTTGAAGATGACTTAACAAAAGAAATGAAAAAGGTTACATTAAAAGCAATTGAAAACTTTTGGATGATATCTCAAATTCAAATTAACAATACCATAGTTAGAACATTTGTTGCAAGGTCTTATGCCTACATCGGGCACATTCTAATGAAACGTGGTGATATGGTTCTGTCTTCCGGAAACTTGTTTGACTTAAATACAAATAAAAGCTTTAAACGTTATACAAATAATCCAGTTGAGTCTGCAGAAATGGCTTATAGGCTTAAAAACAATGATGTAACTGTTTTGACGAGATATGGAAGGACTCTGTGAAATAAATCAAAGGGTGTTGATGACAAAAGAGAAAAATTAGGATTACTTCACATGGCAAATGATATTCTAACACGTTCAATCGATGTAGAAAACACCGGAAATTGGTTTGCCTTCTCAACTAGAATGCATGTTAAGAAAGAAATATCCGACATCCGAGCTAAAAGAGATATCGATATAGCTAGAAAATATCTGTTGGATGCCAAACAAGATGGAGAAGCAATTTTCAAATCACAAAATACACAAAAAGATTTAACTATTCTTGCAGAAATTTGCCAGAAACTTGCAAAGTTTCCGTACACCTATAAGTATGGGCGAAATTTTGTTCACACAGATGGTCTTTTACATCAAGCTTTAGACTATCTGTTATACGCGTCGTATTTAGGAGATCGACCTGATTTTCACTTTGTTAACAGAAAGGCAGCATGTCTCTTCGATCTCGGTGAATACGCTAATGCCATTGAATGGGAGAATAAAGCTTGGCTGCTTTCATCACCTTCAACCCAGATGTCGTTTAACTTACTTTGTAGTTATATGGTGACAATGTTCGAAGATGATCTGCAGATGCCCTTTGATCAGCTTGTAAAAGAATTTCTGTACGCTCTTATATATGGTAAAAGAAAATACAAGGATATACAGAGGAGCATCGAAAATCTGTATAAGAAAAACCAAAAAGGACTTCTGATATTGCTCAAAGCAATTATCGTAGAACCGAAAACAACACTTCGAAAGACAGAAAAGGATATTCTTAGCGAATGCATAAAAATTTGGACAAATATTGCAGAAACAGAAGATTTAGTAGAATATTCAAAATTAGAAACCATTTTAAAAGATATGATACCACGACAAGTAAATGAGTATGTCCTCTCAGAAACATTTCATCAAACATCTTTGAAACCTCTAGCTGAGGGTAGAAAGGCATGCTCCAGAGAGTTTGAGTATGACTTTTTCATATCTCACAGTCATAAAGACGAAGACTGGGTGACAAACATTCTACTCAGACATCTAGAGAGCCAGTTTGATGAACAAGATGTAGCGTTTAAAGGTAATGTACAATAATTGAAAGTATTTTATTTCAAGGAGAATAAAGTATAACATTTCATTTCTGATTCTTTTCTTCCTCATAGATATATAAACAATAACGAACTGAGTTATTTCATTTAACGAACTTATATTAATATGGTAACAAAAATAATTAGGTGAAAACCAATGAATAAAAATGATATATCACTTATCAAAATTGATATATATATATATATATATATAAGTACATTTGTTACTACAAATACCGTCACTCACGGAGTTTTAGGCTTGCATTGTTATAGAAAGGAGAAGTATTATAGATGAGTTATGTAGCATGGTCTGATAATTGCTATCTCATCAGACTCAACAGAAAAGAACGACTTCTGTGAGAGCTATCACTGGAACTTTACAAGTCGAGAGAAACTACATGTAACTGTTGATTATGCCTTTGATGGTGTATGGCACTGCTGGTGTTGTATATAACCAGGTCGGGATCGACTGACACATATAAATTTTAAATGCAAGCATTTTAATAAAAATAGATATAAACAAAAAGAATACAAAACAAATTAAAAACATTAATAAAGTAAAAAATATATTTTGATTTTTTCTTTAATAGCAAAAACAATATATATTTAGATACACTTTTTCTTATGTAAAAAATTAAATATTAGTAATATTTAATTTTAGTTTATCTTGTTTAAGAATATTTTACTTTAAATCTTAATCATTTTAATATCATGACTAACCTATCAATTTTGAAGTCAAGTCTAGTGTCTTAGGCAGAAAGCGGAAACTAATATAGTACATTGGTGTTATGGTAACGTTCCTTTCTTTGCCAACGTAAAACAGGGAATGACTAAATATAGTTACGGTTAGAGAGTACGGTAAAATATTGTATAAATGTATGTCCTAAATATTATAGATGTCACTTTGATAATCATCAAACTTTATTTTTTGTTAATAATTTCGAAGTTTTTCAACGGAAATTTTATCGTCTTTTGGCATTCATTTTTTGTGCTTTGAGCGTCCCTGATGTAGGCTAATCCAGAAAAGTGCTTCGGACGCATTAAATTTAAACGGTGTTATTTTCATTATAAGAAATTTATTTCATAAATACTGAGCTAATGATACACTCAGGGACTTACATAACAGTCAACTAGATAATGAAAGTAACAGCAGCGCCTGCATATGCATGAGTTTTTCTTCAGAAGATGTGTTACATCCAAAATTAAATTATTTTTCATTAGTTACAATTTAAATTCATACAAGTACAACTTAAACAATTCGAACGATTAATCTTGACTTCCATATCTTTATTCTCATAAAACCAATGAATTACATCGGTACAGAGATAACAACAACAACAGCTATTTACAATGTATACAAAACAAGGGAGAGCTGTTACAAAAGTCACTAGCCAGGAGGACAAACAAAAGTTTTGATGTTTTTTTTATAAATGAACAAAGCTTCTTCGGGACTGATTTTCGTGTACACGACAAAAGTTCGGAGAATTTAACTGAATAATGACGTGTGATAAAAGATGAGCATTTTACGTTCCTGTTCGAAAACAATACATACAAATATAAGCATAGTGGATATTCATCTCCAATTTGTCGATTGTTACATGGGCGGCAAAAAGTTTCTGTTTTATAACGTGTTTATACCTCCCCGTTTCAATCGGCAATTTGTTGTTAACTGTTCGAAATCGACAGAGATCAATAGCATCTCTGAAGTTCAGTATATTTAAATAATCCTCGAATTCCTTATTTTACTATGAGAATTGTATCTTATACCTTCTGACGAATTTTGATCTGATAATCTTTGCTTTATAACAGGTTTAAACCAGTTTTAAAAATGAAATTTTGTGTTTCCCATATATATGCGAAACCATTTAAAAAAATTTTGCACAACCATAATCCATTTAGACTGGATGTTATGATGAGCGTTCATATGGCGAGATACTTGATATAATATAAAGCTTACCGGATATCAAATTTACCCAAAAAATTACTGCTCGAACTTTATATCTATGTCGATCGGATGGCCAGTTCCCTGTGACCACATAATTTGGTGTTGAGGTTTTCAGGTTTAGAATTTATTTACAGAATTTCATATTAAAACTTCTTTAATCTCATTAACACAAACAAAAATCATCATGCTTTTGCATCTATACAACAAAATTGGCTTGATCTTTTTTTACAGAGAGCTGATACATCCATCCTTCCTATTTTCAGGACTTTGTACATATGGCCTTCAAGGCCTTCTCGAATAAATATTTGTTTATTCATATTAAAACTACCTGTTTAAAAGCTTTACTCAATAAAGTTGGTAAAAAAACGCCTAACCACTATTTAACTACTGTTCGTTTTCAAAGTGAATGTATGTAATTCCTTTGAGAAAAACTTTTACTTTACTAGTAAGTGGTGAAACTAAGCATCACCGAATGAAATTTAGTTACAATCTATGGATAGGAAATTAATTAGAATTTTGTATTGAATTAATAAAACCAAATTTTGGTAATAAATTAAGATCTTCACGGATATCAGAAATAAATTAACATGTACAGTATAATTATGTGTAATAACATATACGCTTCAAGTCTCGGCATGACTGAAAACCGACATTAAGAAACTCTACTCTTATCAGTGTTCATATTATTTACATGATGTCTTTTTTTCATTGCAGGTTGCATTGCCGACAGAGATTTTATACCAGGTACTTCTATACTGGATAATATCATTGGTGCTATCAAAAAAAGTAATAAAGTCATTCTTATTCTAACGGATCACTTTGTGTCCAGTAATTGGTGTCAGTACGAGGCAGATCGAGCCGTTATTAAATCATTAAATCTAGATTCAAAAGACATTAATTGCGTAATACCAATTGTTTTAGAAGATTGTTCAATACCTGAGAAAATCAACCATCTAAACTTCATAGATATGACAATAAAAAGGGATTTCGTGCAGGAAATGAGGAGATTAAAGAAAGTTTTGTTGCCAGGTGACAAATGAAACATGCAAACATAGAAATTTATATTTGTTAACTCAAGAACTTTTTATAATGAAATTCCATGAAATCACCAATCTTTTGTTATATACATAAAATGTTGTATTTAAACCCTTAAAATACTTTGATCTAAACTCGTCTTATCTAACTGTGCAATGAATAAAAACATCAAACTTTTATTAACAATTAATTTATATAGTGAAATGTGTAAACAATCGAGTCATTTCTCGGAGTTGAATATGATTTGTATCTATTTGTTTGTATCATCCACGAAAAAAAATCGGGAGTATATATTTATCGCTTGGTCAGTGATCCGTCTATCCGTCCGTCCTTGTGTCAGAACCTAATGGTATTCGGATGATAATTTGAGTATCCCTTGCTTCATTGAAATGATATTTATACAGATGGAAGACGTATAAAATTGAACATTATTGATTACGACATCAATGTCACTGTTACGAAAAATAGGAAAAAATGTGGTAACTTGAGTAACCGCTGCTAGATTGAAATAAAATTTATACAGTTGAGAGATTTTTGTAAAAAGAAGAAGCCAATTGAATTTGGATGAATAGGTGAAAGGTCAAGGTCTCTGTGACTAAAAAAGAAAAATTCGAAAGATGTTTCCCGGATTGTTACAAGAGTGCCTTGCTTGATTGCATTGAAACTTGTCACCGGGTCCTTTCATTTTGACGTTACTAATTTCTTTCTTTCCTTCCATAGAAATACAAATATTGAGGAGCGAAAAGTGATAAATCTTGCAATAGTATATATATTTCTTTCCTTACGATGTGCAGATTTTTTTTAGAAATGTTACAATTTCGAGGTAAGGTTCACTAGAGCTGTAATTTTTCCTTGTATGATACTTATTTCTTCATTAATCAAGAACGTATATATATATGGTTTGAAATGGATAAAACGGGAAAAAGCTGACAAAAAATCTTTGGACTCTTTTTTTAATTCAGTAATGAAGATAGTTGATATACGTATACAACATTTTAAAGAACATTTTACTCTTAACAACAACCGTAAAAATCCTATTTCTCGTATCAAACATAAACTAAAAGAACTAGCCAAGGAATTTGTTTTTGTCCCGGCTGATAAAGCTGCTAATAATATCATTATAGTTTGACGTAAATTTTACATTGAGGTTCTGCAAAAGGAAATCACGAATTCACCAACATTCCAACTGACTTCATTTTCAGAAAACGATATCTGTCACAAACATAAACTATTAGCTACTTCTTTACAAGCAGAACCAAATACAATGAAAGTCCCAACTATGTACTGGCTTCCGAAGCTCCACAAATCACCTTACAAATATAGATTTATTTCTTCTTCAAGTCATTGTTCAACTACTAAATTGTCTATTCTACTTACTAGTACACTTGGTACAATAAAAAAACCTGATAATAAATTGTTCAAATAAGGCCTTTGAAAATAGTGGAATTAACTACTTTTGGAGTGTCAAAAACTCGTTGGAAGTACTTGATAAATTGCATGCATATATTGGTGATTTTGAATCTGTTCAAAGTTTTGATTTTTCTACCCTATATACCACTTTGCCTCATATTCTTATTAAGAAAAAATTCACACACCTAATTAAATGGGCTTTTAAAAAGTCGGAATGCGAATACATATGTTCAAACTCTTTTAGGTCATTTTTAGTTGCAACAAACAAAAGAACTATGTCAATTGGACATGCTTTGATACTATATCTGCCCTTGAATTTTTACTTGATAACATTTTTGTTCGCTTTGGACATTCCGTATATCGTCATGATTTTTCATTTCCTATCGTTAATTATCCATTTTTAGATGATGATGTTCCCTTATCACCATCTTATGGTGTTTATATATCTCAACTTGTACGATTCGCTCGTGTATGTAACAACGTATTAGATTTTAGTGAGAGAAATTTATGTATTACTGAAAAATTATTACACCAGGGTTTTCGATATCATAAACTAGTCAAAACATTTACTAAATTTTATCATCAGTATAAGGACATCATTCGTAAATATAACTCAACATGCAGACATCTTATACGTTTGGGTATTTCACATCCAATCTTTTATTTTTTTTAATTTTTAAACCCCAACACTTTACACAAGTATTCCCCATTCCAAACTAAAAGACAAATTGAAAGAGTTGGTATTACTTTGTTTGATTAAAAAGAATGGCGAACGTAGATACAAGTATCTTGTCTTGGGGAGGGATAAATCCTACTTTGTAAAGAATCACTCTGATTCAAACAAAAAATTCTCTGAAACTGACATTATCAAGATGCTTGATTTCTTGATTGACAACATATTTGTTACGTTTGGAGGACGTGTTTTTCAACAGACTGTCGGAATTCCAATGGGAACCAATTGTGCCCCTCTTCTTGCCGACTTGTTTCTTTATTATTATGAGGCTGACTTCATACAGGAGCTTCTTAGGAAGAGAGATAAGAAGTTAGCAATATCCTTTAACTCTACGTTCCGCTATATAGATGATGTTCTCTCACTAAATAATACAAAATTTGGTGACTATGTTGAACGAATCTATCCCATCGAACTAGAGATAAAGGATACTACAGATACAGTTAAGTCTGCCTCATATCTTGACTT